TGGTTTGGTCAGATAACGTTAAGACAGAGGAAATCCTTGGAGCAAGTAATTAAGTGGTCTAGTCGCTTGCTTGGGGAGTCACAGTTAAGTTTAGCAGCCCTGTACAGTAGACAGGTACAGAGGGTAGTTACTTCTATTCTGAATGATGACTCCCATCCCTTGCACTGCCACTTTTGGCTTCTTCCTTCTGGACGAAGGTTTGTCGTCCCGAGATGTAAAACGCAGCGGTATAGAAATAGTTTTGTCCCTGCTGCTGTTATAGAGTTAACTAGGCTGTAGTAAAATATTGTAAGTAATTTTAGGTTTTCTTCAGATGTTTTCTTTCTTTTATGTCTTGATTGGTGGAGCCCTGAGTACTTTTATTATGTTCGGTGTAGGCGCCAGGTTTTATGTTATGTGTTGTTGTATTTTATTCTTGTATTTTGTGAATGTGTCAAGGATGTCATTTGCTCTGATTGCAAGACAAATTTACCTACGGGTATAAATAAAGTAACCTAACCTAACACTTTTTTTTTTAATTGACACCCCCCTTTTTTTTTTTTTTTTTTTTAACTCACAGGTGTCCCAGGACCTGCCCTTCATTCACCCCAGTGAGACCAGTGTCCTTAACCGCCTCTGTAAACTGGGCTCAGATTACATACGCTTTACAGAGTTTATAGAACAACATACTGGCCATGTGCATCAACAAGTGAGTCCCGGTCCTACATAATGACATTTACACATTTGAGCTGTAAATGTTAGGCTTAACATCAACAGAAATGCAATATCTATCAGTTTTTTTTTTGTTTGTTTGTTTTGCTGCAACTGATATGCACTATTTTAGGGGGCAACAGTGGTGCGGTGGGTAGAGCAGTTGTCTCCCAACCAGAAGGTTGAGGGTTTGAATCTCAGTGCCTGCAGTCCACATGTCGAAGTGTCCTTGGGCAAGACACTAAGCCCCCCCAAGTTGCCTGTAATGGTGGCGCGTATGCACGCAGCGGCCCAGGGCCCTTGGCTCCAAACAAAATTTCATTGTATGTGCTACAATGACAATAAAATAAAGCTTCTTCTTATCTAAGACAGCTTTTCTCTGATAATATAATAAATAATCTTTCTCACTGGGTTCTTCTCAACAATTTATAGTTCTGAGGAAAACTTGTACTTATAAACCTTCCTATGAACTTGGACAGTTTCAAGCATCTGGCTTTGTTTGGGAGCATTGGTTTAAATCTGTAAATAAAAGGTGGAAAGTTAAAGTAATATGCTCTGCAGGAACATCACGCAAACCAGCCCAACCAGACTGGACTTCATGGAATTTACTTGAGGGCTTTCTGCACTGGACTTGACTCCATGCTGCAGCCGTACAGACAGGCCCTGCTGGACCTTGAACAAGAGGTAAAACGGTGAGCAGCCAATAGCAATGAATTGTGAAGCATGGAAAAGGATGCTCATTTAACTTGTATGTTTCAGTTCCTTGGGGATCCACATCTGACAATATCCCATGTGAATTATAAGCTTGATCAGGTAAAGCATCATTTTAAAATAGCTAAGGAGGCTACATTTATATTCTGAGTGGACAAACATTCGGTTTGTCTAACACTTGGATTTTTTTTTAAAGTTCCAGTTACTGTTTCCATCTGTGGTGGTGATGGTGGAGACTATAAAATCACAGAAGGTAAGCACTGCTTAAAGAAGAATTACACCAACAAATGTGAATTTACTGTGTTGTCCATTTTGCCTGTGACTGGGAAGACAGTTCATATAACCATGAGTTAGCCCAGTAATTCCAGCTGAATCTTCAAAATTACTTCATTCAACATGATCTTCAAAATTACTTCATTCAACATGAGCATGTTTTATAGGCAAAGAAAATGTTATTGTGTAAGTGTGTTGTGGTCAAACGATACTAACAGTGTTAGGTACAACTACATTCACCAAAACTGAGTGAAAACACCATTAAGAATCAGAAACATCATACAGATTTTTTAAATGAATGATTTTTGAGTGAAGTGCTATATCATGCTACCATTTACTATCAGAAAGTCAACAAATCAATCAAAAATGTTGGGGTTGTGTCGCAACCACAACATCGCTTTTGTGAGTCCAAATGTGCACTGTTGTTGCATTTCTTTCCCCTTTATCACCATAGCAGCAGCTTAGAAACATAAGTGGATCAGGAGACCAGTGTAGTTTGTTAAAATTGAGAGAAAACATAATTGTTTTTTAGGTGGGAGGCAGCTAATGACATGTAGGGTCCTGGTGTTCTTGGTTGTATTTGTATAAAGTTGGTTGATGGAAACACACTTGTAGATTTACATTTTATTTTGTTGAAATTTGCTCAGAGTTTTGTAAATGTACACCCATAGTTGTGGGGTGTAGGTTATTGGCCCCCGGGACATTTTATACAAATTCAATGAAGAAAGAAATGGAATAGACTTAAAAGCTGGGGTTGTAGATTGACATGTGGCTTACAGACCTGACAGGTGTGTGTGTGTTCCCTGTGTTGTGTGTGCTGCTGTAGATCCACGGCTGTCAGATCCTGGAGACGGTCTACAAACACAGCTGTGTGGGGCTTCCTCCTGTGCGCATGGCCCTAGAAAAGTAAGTCAGCTTCCTTTTAGTGTTTTGCAGTTGGGTTTTAATTTAGTTGGGGTGGTATCAATAATCCACACAACAGGATATTATAATATGTTGGATGTGGAACATCAAGTAACGCTGTTTCCTTAGATGTTTGGAGGGAGGATGTTAAATGAATGAAGTTTATTTAATTTGGGTTGCTGTGAGGAGAAGTGTCCTTCACTGCTGATGCTTAACTTGAAAACAGTTCTCTAGTCTGACTGAATATCTTATGGCTATTAGACACTTGATATTTAGGTGTATGCATGTATATAAAAATGAGCCACTTCTTTTCTCAACTGTCTGCCATGTTCAGTGAAATAGCTTCAGATTTCCTCCCTTTGCCCTCAGCCTTGACCCCACTCCATGTCGTACACTGCACTTGGCATGAAGGGCTTCGACTGCCTTATAACACCAGTCATGTAAAACAGTGCAGTGGAGTATGGAAATCATCCACTGAGATGATCCATATGTACATACCATATGTGTCAGATGCTCGTTTGAGCCAATTTAAAATACTTCACAGAATACATCTATCTAGAAGTTAAATATTGCCAAAGTGCGCAAGTTTCTCTGAGTGACACGGGGAGACTTATGAACAATTTTATATCCAGCAGACTGGACTATTGTAATGCTCTCCTCTCTGGTCGACCCAAACAAGTTAGAAATCAGTTACTATTGATCCTGAACTCTGCTGCTTGAGTGCTGACCTGGACCAGAGAGAGAAATGCATTAAACCTGTTTTAAAGTCCTTACCTTGGCTCTTTGTTTCTGTATGGAGTTTAAATTCTGTCACTGGATTTTAAAACACTTCATGGTTTTGCAGCAGCCTACTCGTCCAACATAATATCTTTGGAAAACCATTAACATTTGAATAATATCAATAGCTACGTTAAGCTAATTGGGCTGTAGTTAAACAGCAGCAAAAGAAGAGGAAGGAAATGATAGACTTATTGTTGACTTTTATATGTAAAAAACAGTGGTGGTGTCAGTTCTAATATCATCCACATAATTTTGACTTAAGAGGGCCATTCCACAGTGAAGGTGAGTCCAGATGAGTGGAAAGATGAAGCCTTGATCCTACTCTCTGAAAAACTACGTTATCATTTTATGCTTGAGCTGCAATGTGCATGGTCTTGCAATACAATAAGAAAGTCACTTTCGGCTTTTCCCGTTTAGGGGTCGCCACAGCAAATCGTCACACTGGCGACTCACATGTTGACATTTGGCACGTGTTTTACACCAGATGCCCTTCCTGACGCAACCCTGATTCGAACCTGGGTCGCAGCAGCGAGAGTGCTGCGCCTTAACCACTAGCCTACCAGGGACGGCTATACAATAGATGCCATAAAATCCTCTGTTGTTGTATCATCTTATTGTTGCTAGCCATCACACTAAGAAACCAAACCATTCAGTGCCTCTATGCTTGTATCTCTTTACACCTGCAGGATTCTGGCGGTGTGCCATGGCGTGATGTACAAGCAGCTTGCAGCCTGGATGCTGCACGGTTTGCTGCTGGACCAAAGCGAGGAGTTTTTTGTGAAGCAGGGGCCCAGTGCAGGAGGAGCTGCTGCCAACCAGGAGGAGGAGGAAGAGGACCTGGGACTGGGAGGCTTGAGCGGGAAACAGCTCAGAGAATTACAGGACCTGGTGAGAACTACAGTCGCACACAGATCTAACACTGGACAAGGGCTCAGGACAAACGGGCAGACATGACTGCAAGTTTTGATGCCTTCAGCTCAAAAAATAACTCCACAGTTTTCTCAGAAATAAGTTGAAACTGACAGGAATAACTGGCATCCACTGTTCTCTGTTCCATTTTTAATAGAACAGACACATTGCTTTTTTGGTGTATTTTAAACAACACACTATAATGGCAGGGACAGCAATACTGGCTAATCTAATATTTAAAATCTATTTAATTTATCTATTTAAATCTAATCTAATATTTTGCATTTCTCAGTGATCAGATTGGATGTGTTCTGAAGTTTACTTGCGGTTTTTTGTTTGTTTGTTTTTTTCACCATTTGAATGCTTGTTCTGTTCAATTTGGGCTAGTTTTCCTCTTGTCCTGATGTCCAGGGAGGTCAACTCAGCTACGCTCCCGTGACCCTTTAACCTTTTAACAGGGGTGTGATGATAAACAACAAGAACAAGATGATATATTTTAACAAGTCTTCACCTTTTAATAATCCTAGTAACTGTGGTCACACCAGTCTGTTTGGAGATGCTCTTGTAACCTTTACCTTGTCCATGCATGAGAAATTGTTTTTATCTTACTCATCTACTCAGAAAACCCTCTTCTTTTCTTTGTTCATGTTCACTGTGGTGCAAACAACGAGGCCTCTCCCTCACACTGAAGATACCTGTGATACTGATACACTTATTTATCACCACTTTTAAAGAGCCATAATCATTTTGTTCGCTTTAGAAAATGTCTGTATAAGAAGCAAGAATTCAGATCTTTGCAAAGCTTTGTTGGTTGATTCTGTGGCAAACCACAGCCTGCAGGTATGTTTGACAGAACTGCTCTGAATTTCAGCTCTTGTCAGAAAGAATGGAGCATTTGTTTCAGTGAGACAAGTGTGCCAACACATCTGGCCATGTCTGTTTTTAATCCAAGTCTCAACAATAACTGTTGTTGTTGTGCAGAGGCTGATCGAGGAGGAGCACATGCTGGCTCCGTCTCTGCAGCAGTTCTCCCTGCGGACAGAGATGCTGCCTTCCTACATTCCCATCCGAGTTGCTGAGAAGATCCTGTTTGTGGGAGAATCTGTCCAGATGTTTGAAAACCACAACCACAGTCCATCTAGAGCTGGTAGGCTACTGGCTATGATCCAGGTCTATATGTCACTGAAAGAGGGTGACACATTATGGTTTTGTTGGTTTTAGGCTCCATCCTGAAGCACCAGGAGGACTTGTTTGCTGCTGAGCTGCACAAACTCAAACAGCAGCCTCTTTTCAGCCTGGTTGACTTTGAAAATCTGATTGATGGCATCAGGAGCACAGTGGCAGAGGTGAGCTTGTACACAGCTGCATGATTGCCATTAGTGATAAGCTGCCCTGGACAGTGACAAAATGAAATCATCACAATCTTACTGACTTGCAGCATCTCTGGACTTTGATGGTGGAGGAGTCAGATCTGCTTGAACAGCTCAAGGTTTGTACTCATCCCACTTGGTACTGGCTCATAAATGAGTGTGGGAAAAAAACAGCGCTGATGTGTGTGTGTTTTCTCCCAGATCGTTAAAGATTTCTACCTGCTGGGTCGTGGAGAGCTCTACCAGGTTTTCATTGACCTAGCGCAGCACATGTTGAAGGCACCTCCAACAGCCGTCACTGAGCACGGTAAATGTTGATATGCAAACCAAGATTTATTGCTCACATGATCGGCCAGGCAAAGAGGAGGCTGTAAACCCAAAATAGATAGAAGTAGCACTGTGATGATTTATCTCAGCGCTTCCACCCTTAAACCAGCACAAGTGTTCCAGCATCTTAGAATAGCTGCCACAGTTCTCCTGTGGATTCAGTCTCTCTCACTGTCTCCTGTCTCCTCATGTGATCCCAGACTGACTCCTTGATGTGGAGATCAGAGCTCTGGGGGGCCCAGACCATCTAGTGCAGGACTTGGTGTTCTTTATGACTCTGGCTAGATGTTTGGGACCAGTTGGACACCTCCCTGACGGCACTGTTTGATGGATGAGAATCTAAAAATCTGAAGTCCATCCTATACTCTACCAAACGCATCTATTCATGGACAATATGGACAACTATTTACAGGGACATTTGACAGTGGCATGAAAATAACCAAATGTGTTTTGATACCCTGTGATGTCTTTCCACAGATGTGAATGTGGCCTTTCAGCAGGCAGCTCATAAGGTGCTACTGGACGACGACAACCTCCTGCCTCTGCTGCACCTCACTGTAGACTACCAGGGCAAAGACAGCAAAGGTGTGCAGCTGAACAAAGCTCAGATGAACCTTCCTGGCGATGGTGTGATGAATGAAGTCTGTTTGAGATGCTTTCTTTTGTTTGTGTTTAGCGCCACCCAGTGGCGTCATGGTAAAAATCAAGTGGGCTTTTCTGCACAGTAGGGTCAGATGTATCCTTATAATTATGACTAGCTCTGTTAGCATCCAAGAGCACCTAACTGTTACTGTGCTGTTTTTCAGAGGTGTCAGGGAGCAGAGAGGGAGCTACTCCTCCACAGGACACATCCCCTCGCGAGGTCCCCCCCACAGGCTGGGCGGCTCTCGGCCTCACCTACAAGGTTCAGTGGCCGCTGCATATCCTCTTCACGCCTGCTGTCCTGGAGAAGTGTGTATTCAGCTGAGTCCCTGCTTATCATTTATTCACCTTCATGTTGATTTAAGTTCCGGCTGTTCACTGTCTGCTCCTGTGTTTGTTCAGGTACAACGTTGTGTTCAGGTACCTGCTGAGTGTGCGGCGCGTGCAGTCACAGCTGCAACACTGCTGGGCTCTACAAATGCAGAGGAAGCACCTCAAGTCCAGCCACACAGACGCTGTCAAGTGGAGACTACGCAACCACATGGCATTCTTGATCGACAACCTGCAGTACTACTTGCAGGTAGCAGTCCAGTGGAAGAGATACCGGGGGGGGGTGTCCAAGTACCAATGGTGTTTTGAGTTTTCACATTGTCATTACACCACTAAAATGGTTGTGGGGATTAAACCACATGTAGTGCGACGATGAAAGAGTTTGAATATTGATGGTGTGATTTTTGGATGAATGCTGTATCTCGCTGAAACGAAAACCACAATTGTATGAGATTTTACCAGTAAGTTGAGGATGAGTTGACTTAAAGTTTTAACTCTACCACTAATTAACTATTAGTCATTAGTTGTGATTTGTTCAACACTAGTGCATGTTTTTTTTTTTTGTTTTTTTTTTAATGATTTACTTTTGTGCATTTTATTCTAAATTTGTTTTCCATAGGTATACGTTTGTTCTTCCATGAATGATCGTTTTATTTTGTCCTTTATGAAGCACTTTTACTTTTTCACTGTTACATTATTGACGTTATCAGGCCAGTCGTTTTCTGTATTACAGAGACTAAAGCTGTTTACCTCTTTCTCTCCAGGTGGATGTGCTGGAGTCTCAGTTCTCTCAGCTGCTTCAGACGATCAACTCCACCAGAGACTTCGAGAGCATCAGGCTGGCCCACGACCACTTCCTCAGTAATCTGCTCGCCCAGTCCTTCATCCTCCTGAAACCGGTACAGCTCGCTGAGCCAAATTATGCTGGAACTTGCTTTGCAGCTAAAATTCATTCTTGCTACAGGCAGAGACAGTTTGTTCACTAAATGACAAAAGTGTTTGTAAATGCTGCTGTGGTCAGGTGTTCCACTGTCTGAACGAAATCCTGGAGCTTTGTCAGAACTTCTGTGCACTGGTCAGTCAGAGTGTGGCTTCTCTCGATGAGAGGGGAACTGCTCAGCTGGACTTCCTGGTCAAGGTACAGTCACTTATCTCATTTGTCTAATGTTGGAAAATCTAAAGACGCTTTTTTGTAATCCTGCTACTGTCATATTTCAGGGCTTTAGACGGCAGTCCTTCTTACTGTTCAAAATCCTTTCAAGTGTGAGGAATCATCAGATAAACTCTGATCTGGCTCAGCTGTTACTGCGACTAGACTACAACAAGTACTACACTCAGGCTGGAGGCACCCTGGGCAGGTAGGACACAACCAAACCATGCACCACCAGCCAGGCAAGTTTAGAAATTACCTTGGTGAATGTCAGTGATAGTCAGGCCTCATAGAGTAAACAGAAAATCAAACATGCCCAAAGATAAAAGGAATGGCATCAAATAAAGCAGTCATTAACAGTGGTTAACATGCTAAAGTTAAACTAAAACCTCAATTTTCTTTCTTTTCAGTGTTTAAGAAGATTAAGATTTGGAGAAAGAGGCTAAACTCTCACACAGAAGAAAAAAAAAACTGTACATAACTTCCACCAGTCTTGTCCTTGGCCAAATGGCATGCCAGGTAAAATGATTAGAAGGGTTAGTTCCCCCAAAATTATAAGATCATATTTAGTCACTCACATCTATGGTATCACTGTGCAGACATGTTCAAGTGTCTCCCTCTGGAATTTAGGATTATATTTATGGTGCTCACAGAATACAGGTAAAAAGCAGCCTGTCAGAAGCAGACACCTCAGTGTAAACAGATTTCATTGGTTGGGCAGAAGGTAGCTGACCCAGAACAACCAGAGGAAGCTTAGACTGAGCTTTCAAACTGGACTGGGCTTTAGCTGTTTGATAAGTCTGAGCTAATTAAAGCCATTCACAGGTTTAATTTAAAGGAGTAGTTTTGATAAATGTGCTTTCTTGCCAAGTGTTGCATTGTAACATCACTCTCACATGTTAAAGGTAAAGCTTCAGCCAGGAAACAGTTGGATTAGCTTACCATTTCCACCTGAAGCCATAGCCAGCCAGGCTAGCTGTTTCCAGTCTTTATGCTAGCTTCATGTTTACCATTTAGACACTAGTGTAGTACCTCTGTTCTCAGAACTCGGAACATAAGCACATTTCCCAAAACACTAAACCCTTTGATATTCAAGTAGCCTCCAAGGCACAAGTCCATACTAACTTAGCATTTATTTAAAGCTGCTTCCTAAGAGAATTTTCTGGAAATAACCCTCACACAACTGGTAAATCTGCTTTATGAGACACAGCCCAGGACATCTTTTCTGCAAAGACAAGTTGCTCTGTTTTAAATGCAAAGTTTCTGTGAGCATTACAGATAAATTTGTTTACTTCTACTGTACTGTGACAGATTTTGACACCACAGCACAAATGCCTGATGCCATCTGCAAGGGGAGAATGTTCTTATAGTTTGGCTGACCTGATCCTTTTGACTATAGACCCTGTGTTCCTTGTGTAAATACTAAAACCTTGTTGCATGTTCTGTTTTCTGTAAAAATAAATAAAGTGACTTCCATTAAAATGAAACAAGGGCCACAGTTTATTACCCCTTTAAAAACAGACAGAATAAAGGTATATACAGCAGAGGCATGCAAGAGAACTAATGTTGAACATTTAACATGGTCAAAGGCATTTTGCACATAGTCAGATTATGTGGAGTAGTCGTGGCAATACTCAGGTTTGCTACAGAAACCCAGGCGCTCGCCACAGATGAGGCTCTGGATGAGCCACTCAGGAGACACCAACGGGACCTCCTGTGATGCCGCACCTTTCTCTACCAATGGTGGACAGGCATGGTCTGTCACCACAACATCATACTTGCCAGGAGGAATGTCTGCAGATGGAGAGGAAACCACTGAACAAAGGTACAGGATCATTGTCTTACAGTGCACAGTCTACAACCGCTATGCTTCTGAAACAAAAAATAAATCTTTGCTAATCCTATCTAAATTTAATTGGCTCTGGATTGTAAGCTACAGCATTGGCAGCATTCTGCTTGAAGAAGGAAAATAACTTGTAACCAAAGCTCTTGGTGGGTCTAATGACAAAACTGTTTCTGATACAAGAAACTTCTTTTAGGTGGGCGATGTGGCTCAGGCAGAACAAGTCACACAGTTTTCATTTAAAGATGCAGTGTGTAAGATCTAGAAGCATATGTCTGTCCACCCGGTAAAGACCCCTTCTCCTGCTGTTGTTCTGATGACAGACAGCTGTTCTGATGCGATTACTCTGACCAATCACTAGTCTTCAGTGTTTACATGCCACCGTTTGGCATCACCTCTGCTCACTTGGAACCTCGACAGAGGTGATACCAGAAACTATCCCCAATCTTTGACTGATGGAAACACAAATAAGGTGAGTCGATCCGGTATCAGACGGTGGAAAGGGGATACAAAGCAGCAGTTAGCATCTGCCCTGTAATGATTCTGTAGCTCAGAGTGTTTTGTCCAGCTCCAAGTTATTCTTTTATTCATATCACTAATCTAAACCAATAAATGTAATATTTTGGAACCAGGACCTGATCCAGTATTTGGATCATGACTGAAGCTCCTGGAAAAACAGTGTGTCAGATTAACTTTAATTTCATTAGGTCTATGTCAGTTAATGAACATTATTGGATTGATATTAGCAGATACTTAACATTAAAGGAATCGGATCAGTATCGGGTCCTCCCTAGTCAATGTAGTACAGAAATGCAGTGCATTCACTTAAAAAAAAAAAAAAAAAAAAGAACAGGACAATTATCTCATAATGATGATTCTGTCATAATTATGGGATCAGATCTCAAAATTGAGATATTTTCATAATTATGTAATAATTATTAAGAACTTGCCTCAGAACTGTTAGGTTTTAACAAATTCTTTAGTATGAACATAATTCAGTGATAGTTGACAGTACATCCAATGGTGCACGGCAAAAGTGAACTGCTCGTAGCTAATTAGTGTTTTACTTGGTGTTCCAAAAAATGCCGTTGACCAGAGTTATGTGGATTCCGTACCTGCAGTGTCTTTGTCTGCTTGGAAGTGTCGAACAGAGGAACCTCCACCCATGGTGATGAGCTGTGCCCACAGCTCCACTGGCTTCTCAAACACCAGGAGGATCCGCAGGGCCTTGAACGGGCTGCAGCGGGGATGCCTGAGTGGCCAAATAATAGCTGACAGTCAGTGAGCAGTCACACTTCAGACAAATGGAATGAACTCCACACATGGCACTTGCTTTTCAAATGACAACATACTGCTCATCTTTGTCATGTACAACATTACACTGAATTTCTTCGGTTAATGGACTGTTGACAAAACAAGGCAAGATGTCACCTTGGTTCAGCGATCTGCACCAAACAATACTAAAACATTTGGCAGCTTAATCAATAATTAAATAAATGCAGCCCTACGTGCTGTACGTATTAAACCGGGAACTCCGGCATCTGTGACTGAGCAGCCCCAGGTAACATTAAATAGGAGGAGCAATGTAAGAGGTAAAAAATGGGGCTATATCCACCCTGTCAAATCCATCCAGTGAAGCCCAAAGAATGAAAAGCACCTTAACGTGCAGCTTTATCCTACCATTCTACTATGGCATCATCTGGACCTACACCAGCAGGCAGCAGGTAGTTCCTGTAGTTGAGCAGCTTGTTCTCTTTGCAGCAGTCTCGCACCCATATATGTGACACACATGGCACACCGCTGGCCAAACACAGCAAGTACTTCCTGGTGCGGCAGTGCTGGTCTGCAATCAGCAGGCTCTGGTAGGCTGCTTTGCACTGGGGAACAGCAGGAGAAAAACATGAAGATGAGAACAAATCTGCATTGGACATACAGTATAATGTCTATCTTCCACATCCTGAGATGCTCACTGAGGATGCAGCACTTTAAATACAGGGCTCAAATGTGGAGTAATTTCCTAAAACTGCTGGGCTCTGTTTTTAGCAAATGTTATAATAGTGGGGTCAGTTTGACAAATATACAGAATATCAGACATTCTTAGCTAGAAAATTCAACTTGAAATTGAAGTTGTGACTTTTCCAACTTAAACAGTTGAATGAATAAGCACTTAACACAAATAAATGATTCTGACATCTGCCAATTATTACTACAGAACAGCTTAAAGTTACACATACTGTAATCAACAGTAATATAAATCTTACAAGTTTAACTCGCTAAAGCTTCTTGTGCTCTTGGGGAACTTACCTGTTCTTCATTGAAGTCAGGGAGGATGAAGCCCCCACCTGCCTGCAGCTGGGACTCTGTGTATGTTTTGTTGTATGGGCCTGTCTGCACGTATTCTGCTGGGGAAGAATAATAATTACTGATTCTACTATAATTAAAGGATAAGGCTGATCATTTTCTATATTAAGAGTATTTTCAACAGTCCCCGTACAGAGACAGAAGCCGACAGTGAATTGCCACTACTCATGACTGATGTCTGTCAGTCCTGGATGAGCTTATTTCTCTGTTCCACAGACCTCGGTTGTTGTTCGAAAAGGATCAAAAACACATCAGTGACACACACCGCCGTACCAGGTAACATATAGAGAGTAAGACAGTAAGTAGCTACCAGAATGTAAACAAAGCTGAGAGCTCCCACAAGAATAAATCAAATCAAATCAAATCTTGTGCATGTGCGGTTGATTCTTACTCATGCCAACTCCAGGAAATTATGGCCATGCGGCGCCTTCAGGATGGCGAAACTGGGTACAGGGTTTTGTATTGGCAGCGGTGTGTTTCCCTGATGAATTTTTAATCACTTTGGAACAACAGAGATCTATCGCACAGAGAACAAGCTTGTCAAGCTGACGAACATTAACCATGAGTAGAGTGCTTGGTTTGATGCAAGGCGCCTGGCTGCTAATGCAAACATAGCACAATCATTGTCACGTGAGATGGAGATCGCACAGGGATCTATATCACACTCAAAAATCAATTTATCGTGCAGCTCTATATGCAAGTACAGCTTAATCACTGACAAATGTAACCTTATTAGCTGCTCCACATTCATAATAACTTGTGGTGGAACTTGTGATGCCAGGGTCTGGGTCACAAAATGTGTCCACTAGATGTCGGAGGCAATAATGAGCTCCATGAGGTGAACCTTTTGGTGAAGCCTCGACAGCTAAACAAGGTTTCATTTTGCCACCACCAGTGCACAATGTAACGCTCACCCTCCTCATCATCGCTGGTGAGCTTGTTGGTCAGCCGGTCGCTCTCAGATGAGCCCGTTAGCATGAAGGCAAAGCCCATGAAGAGAGAGGTGTTCTGGGGCAGTGGACCGTGAGACTCTGCCGTGTCACAAGACTGACCGGGAAGATCTGTGCCGCTGCTGGAGGTGTTACACACACCAACCCGCTGAGCTGTGGACACCAACACACACATGTTGAAGTACAAAAGACAGTAAGAGCTGGAATCAGACTTACAGTATTGTTCAAAATAATAGCAGTACAATGTGACTAACCAGAATAATCCAGGTTTTTAGTATATTTTTTATTGCTACATAGCAAACAAGTTACCAGTAGGTGCAGTAGATTCTCAGAAAGCAAACAAGACCCAGCATTCATGATATGCACGCTCTTAAGGCTGTGCAATTGGGCAATTAGTTGAAAGGGGTGTGTTCAAAAAAATAGCAGTGT